TCTGAGTTCAAATCCAGTCCCAGATACTTACCAGCTGTGTGACCCTAGGCAAGTCACTTAACTTCAGTTTGCCTTAATCTACTGGAGAAGGAAAAGGCAAAACGTTCCGGTATCTTTGCCAAGAAAACCCGACAGTATGGCCCATGGGGTCACAAAGAGTTAGACATGACTGAATGACTGAAGAATAACAACATGTGCCAGGCATTGTGCTAAGAGCTTTATAAATATTATTTCATTTAATCTTCATAACAGCCCCAGGAGATAAATACTATTAATACCCCAATTTTACAGTTGAGGAAACTGAGGCAAATAGGGGTTAGGTCACTTGACCAGGGTCACATGGCTAGTAAGTATATGAGGAAGGATTTGAACTCAGGTCTTCGTGACTCCAGGTCCAGCCCTCTATAGAGTGAACTACCTAGCCGCCTCTAGCTTATGTTTCAATGTTAATTACCAAGCTCCATATATTTATATTTCTTCCCCATCCATAAGTGATAACTGAGTATTTTGAAGTGACACTTGTATTCTAAAATTTCTATAAACTTGACAACTCTTTTCTAAATTTCTTATCATCAATGCAAATTCAGTGTTTGAGTCAAAGAAGTATTTACTTAAACACACAGTTAAAAAGAAAAAATGTGGTTGGAGTTTCAAGTGAAATGGTTTATGTTTTGTTTTTATTCATTACCTTTGAGGGATGTTATTATTCATTTCATTTCATCTGGAACATTCTAGACACAACGTTTTGTCTGAAAGAGTTAACCTTCTAAGCTCATTCATGAATCAGAAGTCTTTTGGATTTTCCACAGAAGTTTTTCTACAGGCCTACAGTTTCACACTTATGCCTCTAGAATACCACTAAACATTTTAATTTCTGAGTCATTCAGTATTTAGCTATAAACAGACTCTAAGGAGTTGGAAGACAGTGTGCATAAGGTTGTATTGTTTTCACTTGGGTTTTTTGAAGAGGTTGAGAGGTCGTTATCCTTCTAATGAAATAACAGCAATGATACCTTTGAGGTGCCTGTCATCTATGTAGAGCCATAACTGGGTTGGAGCAACTGGGCCTTTTCCCCAAGCACAACAATCTAGAGGTCTCTGACCGGATTTGCCATCCTTGAACAGAATAGAAGCAAGTAAATTCTGTACCTACTAGATTAGCAAGAATAATTACTTTTAGAAGGAAGCTGCCAAATGGCACCTTCTTCAGTTCAGCCACCCCCCAATTGAGCTCTTCCCCAGTTGGGCCCAGCCTTGTTCCACCCTGCCCCTACCTTTAGTTTCCCTTGGAGTTTCTGCTCAGAAGGATGTTTTTGGGATCTCTGCTTCCCTACAGAAGAACTTATTTCTGAAAGTCGATCGGAGGTCATGTTTTGTACAGCTAGCCTCAGGAGAAATATTTCCAGTTATGTTCTGAACTTAACTGAAGAAAACTGGGAGAGGAGGGAGTAGAGGAAGAGGTGCACACACGCAACTCATTCTTTTTGGGCAAAAGAGGGAGAACCAGATGAAACCAGAACCTTTGGGAAGCTTCTTTCCAATCTAATTCTCCCTATGTATCTATGTAACACATTTTTTGAATACTTAGAATAAGAACTCATTTTCCTAGGATTTACTTTGTTCATTCTTTGGTGTTCTTTAAATACCTTAAATAAAGGTATTTAAATTAGGGTATTTAAAGAAATACTACAACAAATCCTTTTATACTAAATGACTCAGAAATTAAATACCTATTCCACTATGAAATTATAAGAGTTTCTATGGCACTTAATGTTGGTTGGCGTGTGTGTGTGTGTGTGTGTGTGTGTGTGTGTGTGTGTGTAGAAAGAAAGAGACAGGAAGCATAGTTATGTACTGAATCTTAGTATGAAGTGGCAAGAGCAGTAGGATTCAGTTTGGTTCCATTGGTCCAACTGAAACATCAACAAATTGGAAAGGATTCCTGTATAACTGGAACTATCCAGATAATAGATAATTGTAGAAAGATAAAAATTTATAGATTTTTGGAGGGAGATCAAGATACTAAAGATGAAAAAAAGATGGGAAAAAAAAGAAACTAAAGATGTTGCACTCAAAAGATAGCCAGGAAATAGATGGAATAGAGAAGATAGTAAGTCTGTAAATACTATAAAGGCTTAAAGCTGACACAAGGAGCTTAAAGAAGAAACAGTGGAGTGATGGGATAAAATTAAGAAAATTCCCAAATGAGGAAAACTCTAGGAAAAGCTTCCTGATAGCTGTTGATTTTAGACCAGAAGATGTCTTCTGAAATAACCTGAAAACTCCCTGAAAATACAAGGAATCCCCAAAATCTTTGGACAATTTTAGCTTAAAATAGCATGAAAACTTTTGGGGATATGCTTTACATGTGTGTGTGTGTGTATACGTATGTATGTATGTATGTATGCGTGTATATATATCAGAAAACACTATCTTCTGCCTACCGGAGATACCTTAGATGACCTGTTGAACCCATTCTATATCTCGGATTAATTCCCTGAAATTTTATTTCCTCCACAGCAAGCATTTCTCATGATAGTAAAAGATAATGATGTCTGTTGCTCAATAGACAGTGAAGGAATGGAGAGGTTTAAGATATTCATTCACTATTTATTGAGCATATATTATCTTACATACTCAATGAATACCTAGGGATTGATTGATTGAGAGAATTGAATTTGATGGTAGAGAGAGTAGTAATTTTAAGGCTAAGAGTAAAGTGGATAGTTGAGAGAATCCTGGAGATAATCCTATACACGTGAGTACTTATAAGATAGAAAAATAAAGAGGAAGTGAAAATGGAGCACATATATCTTCTGACTAAGTAATGAACAGTTCAGCACTAGTTTCCTCAGCACAAAGAGATGCCATGTAAGCTAAATCTCACACCCTGGCTTGTAGCCATTGCACCTAAATCATACCAGCCAGGATGTTCTTCTGACTGTAAAGAAAATGCAAACCAGGAAGGAAAGGGCACATCTGCCTTGCTGCTTTCTCCAGGACTGCTAGGAGAACTATTCTTTTGCATAAATAGGTTTGGGAGTTATGGGGTTGGGGGGGGTGGTATTGAACTGTGGTCTCATTGGTGTAGGGAATAACTGATGAGCAAATGCCTTCTACCAATGCAGGTCAGTGTCTTTTCTGCTTCTTAGTAGAGTTTACCTGGGGTATTGAGAAGTTAAGTGATTAGCCCAGGGTTTCAGAGCCAGTGTGTGGACTTGAATCCAGTCTGACTGACTTCAAGGCTGGCTTTCTATCCACTATACCACGCTACCTCTCAAATAAGCTTATGGATATGTATTCCAAAAACACTGGTTAAAGCAGAGCCAAATCCACCCAAGTGGAATCATAATGGGATGAGGGGCATTAGGGTAAGTGTTTATAAAATGTTTGAATTTCCTTAGATTAAAGGCATTGGACCAAATAAAAATGTTATTATTACAGGTGTGCCTCACCCTAGCAATAGATCTTTTTTCTGAAAAAGTCATATGTAATTTGTATTATACTTTTTACTAAGGGAACTTATTATTTAAAGAAATACTACAACAAGTCCTTTTATAAGGCAAGAAATCCTCTTAGATGCATCATTATTACCTAGTCTGCCTTTTTTTGGACCATCATGATTTTATCATTGCGTTTCCTTAGAATGGATGTACATCCGTTTTTTTGTTTAAGATGACGAGGATTGTTAGTAAATCAGTGACAGATGGTGACTGCCTGTGAATGAGCAAAAATAAAGGTATCCAGTTATACTTCTTACTTCAGAGAGCTACAAGCTTATCAGTGCAGTGTAATTTCCCTTCTGACATAGATCACAACCCTCTCCACATTTCATTAGAAGATTTCATGAACTTCTGTAGCCCAAAAATATTTATTACAAAGAGCAACCTTCTTATAAGAAGCCTCTCCAAATGTACCTAAGGGGGAGGGGGCGTCTCAATTGACAGTCTAGTAACTTGGTAGGGTCTGCCAGACATTTAAAGAATGCCAGGTCACTTCTGTGACACAGCAAGGCATCAGAGGGGGACTTTAATAGAAGATGCAACTGGACCATATGATGAAATGGTAAAAAGTAGCCATTAGTATCTGATTGTCAGAGGTCATTTAGACAGGAGTTATTAACCTTTTTTTTGTTTCATGGACCCCCTTGGACAGTTTAGTGAAGTCTGTGGACCCCTTCTCAGAATAATACTTTTAAATGCACAAAACAAAATACATAAAATTGCAAAGGAAACGTATTTTATTTAATTATAGTTATCAAAATATTTAAATATTGGGTCCCAAGTTACAAAGTCTTGATTTAGCAGAGTCCCTTTTTAGTCCTTGCTAATATTAGGTCATTACTAGATAGTAACAAAAACCAAATCCCTAGTGTCTAAGCTAAATTCTGAAATCATACTGGTGATATGTTTCAACAATTCATTCATTCGTCTAAGTGCCAATTAGCATTCATCTGCCCAGAAGACATTTATTCATTCAGCAGTGCGTGTACTTCAGAGTTATTTTGTTGCTGTTCAGTTCAATTCAACAAACACTTATTTGTCTCTGCCCTTAAGGAGCTTATATTCTGCATTTTTGTTAGCAAAAATCTTAATTAGTTCTTTGTTTTGGACTATTCATGTATATCTTTTGGAAAAAAATGAGGCTTCAAAACGTTGAAGAATGAATACTTTTTAAAAATCCTGTATCTTCTGTTAAAAAAAAATCCTAGCTGTATTTGCTACTGTGGGTGGACAAGGAACCTAATAAAGGAGAAGGATAAAGGTCTGTGATAGAAAATGTCTTTCCAGATAGTTTTCCTGAGCTTATTGTTGTAGCAAAGAATTAATGTGCTGATCAGCAGTTTTACCATTTGCTGCCTAGTTCATGCAGGACAGAGAAACCATGATGTCATCTTTCTTTGCCTCTCTCATTTTTTCTCCCACTAGTGTGTGTATGTGTGTGTATGTGTGTCTTTCCCAAACTCTGATTAACTAGAATAACTCTTATTTCTATTTTAGGGTGTGAACGGAATGTCTGTGGATGAGAAGACTGAATCCCCCATGTATGTGTATGAGTCAACAGTCCATTGTACCAATATCCTCCTGTGCCTCAATGACCAGCGGAAGAAGGATATTCTTTGTGATGTGACTTTGATTGTGGAAAGGAAAGAGTTCCGAGCCCACCGGGCTGTGTTGGCAGCATGCAGTGAATACTTCTGGCAAGCTCTGGTAGGGCAGACGAAACATGACTTGGTTGTCAGCCTGCCTGAGGAGGTACGGTATTTTTATTTGTTACAGTTGATGATGGTGACCAGTCAAATGATTGATAATGTTGATTTGTGTGCATGCTTTAATTTGTATGCATGCTGAATTGTCCACCAAGTAGCATACTGTATCCATCTCATAGACTTATGATCTAAGTCCTACACATAGTAGGAGTGGGGCACGTAAGTCTCTGTGGTATGGTTATGAACAAATCACTTCTATGTGGCTTACAGCCCCTTACTGTGTTCACTTAACCCTCTGGTTATGAGTATGCCAGTCCAAGGATGGTACAGCTCTTGTGGGATTTGAATCAATGACTGTTGCTATGATTTTTCAGTTTCATTGGGCTTAAGGATTGCTGGATTTCCCTTGAGAGTGAAGGAACGAAAGTGTTCACAAGACCTTCCTTTGGGGGGCTGGGAGGAGAGAGGGAGTAATAAAAACAACCCATCTTTTGACAGTTGCTGTAACAAAAGCTCTCAAATGAGTAAGCTTGCCTTGTTTGCCATTATTGAAAATATCTTATAAGAACTTAGTTCATTCCTTTCTGTGGCTGCACCTGGTAGGTCTGTGCTAGTGGGACGCTTAGGTGGCCTTGCAGGTTTTGATCTAGAGATTTATTTTAGTGGTTCTTGTTGAGCTTTAGGACCTTCTAGGATAAGCTGCCCCAATGGAAGGCCATGAAGTCCACTGATCCTTTAAACTATATTTCCCCTAATTTCCTATCTTGTGTACAGCTACTTGAATCCTTCCCTGCCCATCATCCTGATTTCTCTTTCCTAATGTGGATCATTTTTAGGCCTTTTGTTCAGGTTGAAAAAAGCCCATGGGGACCAGAGAAGGAAGATAAACATAGTAATGCTAGACATTGCATCAAATGGCTTCCCACTGGCTTTCTCACGCCTCCAAAGGAAACCCCTTCACCTGTAGTACAATTCGAATTTTTCTTTCAAACCTTGTCCTGACCATAACTTAAACAAAGTACTCTACATTCCCAAAACAAATGATTTTACTACCAACTAACAGTGTAGTGGCAAAGAGTTTTAAAATAGCAAATGCATGAACATCCAGGATTTTTATATTAATAACTTTTTAGGTCAATTCTTTGGGGGTACTTCATTATCAATGCTTAGACATCTCTGTCTGCTAGATAAGAAGTCTAGTACCCATTTGTCACATGGGTCAGCTCAATCAGTTGTAAAAATTACGATTTTTGAGGGGACATATAAGCAATTGGTGAGGAATAGGAATAAGACTTGGGAGCCTTTATTTTTCTGTTCTGAACTGGCAGAAAATATTCTGCATTAAATCAAATTCTACCCCAATTTCTCCCACTAAAATGCTTCATTTTGAACAATTCTAAACATTGTCTCAACTTTATAGTGTGAGATTTTACTGTAAACCTTTTACTTAGAAAGGTCTAACAGGTATGGTACAAACTGAAGATTTCTAGGTAAGTAAGTATTGCTAAATATACTACATACATATTGCCAATTTTCAAAGAATTAAAATACAGTGAAATATATTTATCAGGAGAATTATTCTAAGCACTTTCAGTCTTATAATGCCTCTAGGTCATTAGTTATCACTGTATGGTGATCTTGATGAGAAAGGGTGTGACATATGCAAGGAGTCTCCTTTTTGATCAAATCCCTGGTAACAGTTTATTTAGAGGAAACAAGGTAGCTCACTAGACCTAGTGTCAGCGAGACTCGAGTTCAAATCCAGTTTCAGGCATACTAGCTGTGTGACCCTAGGCAAATTATTAAACCCCTGTCTGCTTCAGTATCCTCATCTGTAAAAATGAGAGTAATAATAACATATACCTCCCAGAATTATGAGGATAAAATGAGATAATATTTGTAACATGCTTTGCAAATCTTAAAGCATTATGTAAATGCTAGCTATTATTCCTATTACTCTAATTTGCTTGTCATTCGTCTCTTCTTACATAGACAGGATAACACTACCCACAAAAAGTCCTACTGTTTTAATTTTCTGGCTATTTATATTCCAGATAAAAAGTCAACAGGACTGTATTGATTTTTATCTCTTCTAGACATGTGTAAAATGATCAATGGGCCTCGTATGATCTCTACCTTCTGTATTATTTCTAGCATTCCAGTTAGTGCATAGGTGAAACTTTCTGCTCAGTACTTTATAATTACTTCATTTTACTGAGGGATAAAGATAAATTAAGTATGGTCATACTCCCCAACTTTTAATATCAAATCAGTTTAGGGCAGTTCTCAGAAGTGGGTTTTTTTGTTGTTGTTGTTATTTCTAATGACACTTGAATAGCCACAACACACAGGTTAAAATCCCACGGATGACTGTGATGTTATTGTCTTGCTTGTTCCCATCAACAACTTCACAATTTTTTAAAGTGGTAAATAAAGCATAACTAAAACAGCCTCAAACACATATATCTGGCTGCTGCTTCCCAAGACTTTCTGACATTTAATAGGGAAATAATCTCATGGAAGAAAAATAAACACATACCTGATTAAAACTACATGTACCCGGTCAGATTGCCCAGTTCCCAGCAACCTGTGGCACTGACCCATGATTATTCATTTATCTGCATATCCTTTGACTGCCTGAAAGTTTGCAGGGAGTTTCAGAATGGTAGCAAATCTTACATACTCCATTCCAACCTTGGGCTCCCAGTCTTCTTCTTTAGCCTCCTCTGTTCTTGCTTTTATAATATCCTACCCTGAAAAATCTGATTGCTGGGAGATCAGCAGCTTACCTCCCTGAAAACCATAGGTATATACAACAAGAAAATCCCTGTCCACTATTTTATGAAGAGACTTTTTTTCAAATCTGTTTTATAAAAAGGCTTTTCCCTTTCGAAAACAACAGCAAAAAGATAGCAAGAGATACCCACTATTCCCAGAGTCTGTTGAGGCTAGAACTCTTGGGATCTTCCCTGGCATTAGACAATAGAATCCTTGGTAAGCTGCATCCCAATAAATAGCAGCCCAAGACTGCTCAAAAGACAGGTAAAGAAGTGTTAAATGGCCAATATTTACATGGACTATTAAAAGTTTCTAGCTTAATACAAACACAGAACTTTCAAAAATGATTCCTGTGTGTTAGCTCGCATTTATATGGCACTTTGAGATTTACAAAGCGCTTTACATATATTATCTCTTATATCTTGCTCATATGCCTTCTGCCACTGTATACTTTCCCCCGTGTCTCACGGGATGAGGCAGCCTTACTCCTTACAAAGGCTAACTCCTCTGCTTGCTCAAATGATTCCATCCCATCTCATCTCCTTCAACATATTGCCCTTTCTATCATCCACACTCCAGCAGTTATTTTCAGTCTCTGTCTAATGGCCAATTCCCTACTGCTTACGAGATGCCAATGTCTACCCCATCCTCAAAAAAAACCTTACTTGATTCTTTCCATCCCCTAACTGTTGCGCTATATCTTTACTTCCCTTGTGGCTAAACTCCTTGAAAAGGCTGCCTGTGATAGGTACCTTCACTTTCTCCTCTCATTGTCATCTCATCTCCTTATGATCTGTCTTCTGACCTTATCTTTTCACCAAAACTGCTCTTTCCAAAGTTACCAGTGATTCTCTTAGTTGCCAAATCCAGTGGCCTTTTCTCGATCCTCATTTTCCTCGACCTCTCTGCAACCTTTGACAGTGTTGATAATTCTCTCCTCCTTGATACTCTGTTCTCCCTGGGTTTTTACTCTCTCCTTGTTCTCCTTCTACTTGTCTGTCCACTTTTTCTCAGTCTCCTTTTCTGTATACGCATCCAGATCACACCCTGTAATCGTAAGTGTCCCACAAGGTTCTGTCCTGGGTCCTCTTCTCTTCTTCCTCTTATCTTCTCTGTCCCATGGATTTAATTACAGTCTCTCTGCCAATGCCTCTAATCTGCACCGGCTTCTCTCTTGACCTCCAGTCTCTCCTCAACAACTGCCTTTCAAACATCTCAAACTGGATATCCAGTAGACATCTTAAACTCAACATGTCTAAAACTGGACTTATTATCTTTCACCCTAAACCCTCCCCACCTTCTACCTTCCCTATTATTATAGAGAAATGCTATCTTCCCGGGCCCTCAGGCTTGCAATCCAGATGTCATCCTTGACTCCTCACTGTATCTAGTCTGTAATCCAGGCTAATCTATTTCACCCTTCTCTCTGTTTCTTGTACAATACACCCCCTTCTCTCCTCTGACACTGCCACCACTGTGTAGCAGGCCTTCATCAAATTACACCTGATTATTGTAAGAGTCTGCTAATGAGTCCACCTACCTCAAGCCTCTCCCCCCTCCCACTTGATTTTTGCACCCCTTTATCTTAATCAGGTAAACTATTTTGGAAAACAAGACTCCATGATAACCATGCTAAATAGCACTTTTCCTGGTTTCAAAGAAAAGCATGGAAGAGAATTGTTCAAGACAGATTCTGCCAGGAAATTTTATTTTTTCAAAAGGAACTCAGTGGACAAACCATCCAATAAATAACTCCCTCAGATGTACTTCTGTGTATATAATCCTCCTTGCAGAAAGTAGTCTTGGCTGCACTTTACAATTTTAGATGGAGCAACAACTTAGCCTTGGCTATGGGTCAATAGAGGTCTTCTTCTGGATGTCAACCATAGGAGGAAAAGTGTAATCATAGACCAATGTTCCTCAGTTTCTAAGACATAGAGAGCAGCAGTTTTAATGGAGTTCTTTAGAGAAATGTGACATATAAGCCTCTACATGCAAATCTCCTTCAAAAATAAGGAAGATATTTGGTCTCTTCATAAAGAAACTATACTCTATGTTTATAACATTTTTAAAAGTAATATGCCAACAGTTAGCAGGCTATGCCATGGTTCCAGTGAAGAATTATACAAGAAAAACAACATAAAGGCTGTCATTACATTTTTTATAAATGGAAGAAAAAAGATAGGCTAGTCATGTGTCAAGAGTGATGAGTGGACAGCCCAGTTGCTCCACTGATATCTAGAGGAAGGCCCCATGTATGTTGAGTGA